CAGTCTCTCCTTGATAAGGGCCGCTCTCCTTCGACCCTTAAAGTGTATGTTGCAGCAATTTCATGTCTTCACCGAACTGTTGACAACCGTACAGTGGGGCGCCATGAACTGGTTTCACTTTTTCTGCGTGGTGCTCGTAGGTTGTGCCAGCAGCCAGCCCCACGAGCCCCAGATTGGGATCTGCCGTTGGTTCTCACAGCTCTGTGCCACCCTCCATTCGAGCCTTTGGCACAAGCAGAACTCAAGTGGCTTTCCTGCAAGACTGCTTTCCTGATGGCTATCGTCTCAGCTAAGAGGGTCAGCGAGCTGCATGCTCTTTCTGTCAGCCCTAGGTGTATCAGGTGGAATCCAGATGGCTCTGGTGTTACCCTGTGGCCTAATACTGCGTTTGTGCCTAAGGTGTTGTCTCCTTTTCACCGTAACCAGCCATTGCGGCTGGCTCGGTTTCAGCCTCAATCTGGTACAACTGAGAATGAGTCTGAGTTGTGCCCGGTAAGAGCGTTGGAGGCATACATTGCAGCCACCGCCAATCTGAGACGCTCGGACCAGCTTTTCCTCTGTTATGGGGGTCCAAGGTTAGGCTGTCCTCTTTCTAAACAGCGTCTGTCCCATTGGATTGTGAGTGTCATCTGCCACGCCTACGCTGCAGGTCACTGCTCCCTGCCAGTCGGTGTGAGAGCACATTCCACCAGGAGCGTCACCGCTTCCTGGGCTGCTTTGAGAGGGGTTCCGCTGGAAGCTATATGTGCTGCTGCTTCATGGGCTTCCCCAACCACCTTCACCAGGTTCTACAGTGTCAATGTGGCTGCCCCTCATCCCCTGGGTCAGGTCCTTTTACAAGGTTCTGCTGGGCCTCCTCTGTGAGGTATGTGCTCAGGATTCCTTGTGACATCGTTGGCATTAGTCATTCAGTGCTTTCAGCACCGCCCTCTGGCGGTCAGTAGGGATGAAATAGAACGAAAGTTACGTATGTAACTACGGTTCTATGAATCCCGGATGACCGCCAGAGCTTCTCTGTCACTCAGAATCCTTGCTTTTGCGAGAAGATTCTGTAGGAGCAGAGCAAAGGATGACACCAGGCTATATAGCTTCTGAGTGGTCATCCGGTGTCACAGGTGTGACTCTGTTGGTATAATTACTCGAACTGCGCATGCCCGAAGGGAACATTCAGTGCTTTCAGCACCGCCCTCTGGCGGTCATCCGGGATTCATAGAACCGTAGTTACATACGTAACTTTCGTTTGCATGTAACAGCTGAATTAATTAGCAAGACAGGAAGTGATTAAAATACTCCAACTTGGTTTAAAACTCAAGATGAAATCTATAACATAATTTCTAGTGTTAAACAAGGTTATTTTGACCTGTATTTCACATAAATCCATGTTTAGTTATCAAATTTAACTTAAAATAGTGGCACACAGTGGATGAGCCGGTGCACGGATTAAATGAGGGAAGGATCCATTTTACTGCAAAACGGGTTCAAAGAAAAAAATATGCCAAATATTTTGTTTCCACACCACTTTTTAATTCAGTAGGGATTAGGGATGGAATGGTTTATTAAAACCGTCCGAACCGTTCGGTTCCACTGTCTCTGGTTCAGTTCGTGTGTGTTCTGTTCGGTTCATGCGCTGTTCCTTTTTCTCGTGGGTATGGCGAGTGGGAAAGAACAGGAGTTGGAAGACAAGCCAGCAGCATAGGTTATAGGTCTGCTCTATGGGACCACTTTGCATTTAGAGTGACCTACGATGACGATGGAAAGAAAGTTGTGGATAAAAGTGCAACAGTGTGCAAGCATTGTGCAACACGTTTTGTTTATGCTAACAGCAACACGACCAACATGTCAGGCTAACAATCAACATATACCGAACCGAAAACTGTGACCACGAAACCGCGAACCGAACCGTGGATTTTGTGAACCGTTCCATCCTTAGTAGGCATAGGTGGAAGCTTTGCACATGTGTGAGTATCTTTTAATGGGGAAGAGTCGCTATTCTCTCTGTGACTGCAGAAACTGGCTGCAGCTGCTGCGTCCGACTTCCTGTCAGTGTTTTGCTTGGAGGCGCTTTTATTTCACCAAAGTCTTGAATGCGACAGAAAATAGGGGCTAGATTTGCCGTTGCTTTTTTGGGGGAAATTGCAGAATGTTTTGACAAAGGCAATAAGTTTGTGTTGCAGCTTAGTGCTAATGGGTTTTCTTGTCTTGGGGAGCCGAGCCAATGGCAGTCCTAATGGTCCGGGGTTCATGTTTTCACTGCGCTTCACTTGATGGGTGCAAATAACAATTAAATGTATCTAAAAACACAATTTCCACTGCTGCTAAGTGCATTAAGTCAGGGTATCAGCATATTTCCATTGTAACTCAAAAAATTTCAACCTAACCACCATTTGTGCTGAAATATGTGTTAGAAGCCCAGGTGTCAGTCAAAGAGGATATCGGCCTGATTTTCAGTGTAACAGTGACTTTTTCAAGCTCTACTGCCCGTTACGCTGAAATATGCTGATGAGAGCCCTGCTCTCATCAGCATATTACAGCAATCTCCTGTGGAACCAACTACCAGTTTTAGTCCGTGAGGCAGACACCCTGTCTACTTTTAAGGCTAGGCTTAAAACTTTCATTTTTGATAAAGCTTATAGTTAGGGTGGCTCAGGTTATCCTGAGCTATCTCTATAGTTATGCTGCTATAGGCTTAGACTTTTGGAGGACATAGGGACCCCCATTTCATCATTCTGCTTCATTCTCTCTCTGTTCTCCTATTCTGCAGAATCTGTTAGTTCAATCTCTAACCTTCTGCTCTCTCTGCTTTTCCTCAGAGTAGCTTTGCCTCGTCTGTTCCTGTTTGGCTGTGACGTCATCCTGGAAAAAAACATCAGCTGTGCTGCTTCTATCAACACCCTTGTTAATAGATGTTGGAGATCGGCCTGTTTTCCAGTGTGGTCCTGTTTCTCTGACCGTGACTGAGTGGATGTGCTCTCTTCGTCCTCTGGCATGGGAGCTGCCTTGGAGCTCGTCTGCCTGGCTGTGTGTTTCCTGGACGGGGCCGCCTTTTACAGCTGCTTTTTGTATCTCTGCTTCTGTCTCCTTGAACCCCAGTCGGCCTCGGCAGATGGCCGCTCACACTGAGCCTGGTTCTGCTGGAGGTTTCTTCCTGTTAAAAGGGAGTTTTTCCTCTCCACTGTCGCTACAAGCATGCTTAGTGTGGGGGATTGTATTTGAGTCAATGAGTCAATGCAATCAACTGGTTTTCCTTAGATAGAAAACTTTGTATCAATTTGACTGTATGATCTGGTTGAACTGTAAAGTGCCTTGAGATGACATGTGTTGTGAATTTGGCGCTATATAAATAAACTGAATTGAATTGAAATTGAATTGCTCTGTGACCTTTAGGTCATTAACGCCATGTTGATTGTAAGGATCTGCTGCTGTCAAACTGTGAGCTAAATATTAGCAGGAAAAAGGCAAATTCATAACACAAGCAATATTAGCCTACAGTGATTGCACTGATTGCACATAATTATTAAACGCAGTAATATTGATGATAACGCTAATCTTATAATATGCTGAATCAGCCTTAAGTCTAGCACAGGGTCAAGGAAACACCATTCCATAATAAACACATCTGTGGAAAGTTAAATTCTCTGCGTATTTACAATAAAATAATAGGCAGGAAAACTGTGCTTTGTAGAAGAAGGGTTTCTCATCAGACTGTTTTAATGCACTCTGTGCTGCTGTGAGCATTTAGAGATAAGCAACTGAATTTTAGAAGCAAAGATTGTAATAATGGAGGTTAAATCAGATATTTTAGATTTAGAGAAAATGCAACAGATGGGGGTATATTTTGTGACATGCATCTGAAGCAGTGTTATTACAGTTGTACTGTTAAAGTCATGGCTATAATCTTTCTGTGTGAAAATAAGATAATGTTAAAAGGGTTTAAATAGAGTTTGGAAAAATCTAGAATTTGATTTCATTATTTTCCAAATTTGGAAAAGTGGGAAAATAAAATGACTAATTCCTGTATTCTTCCTTCTTTCTCTCCTTGTCTGCTTTGTATCCATTTGGTCTTTGCTTCCTTGCTTTTAGTTTCTGGTGTTTCCAGGATATTCCTGTTCATATCTGCCATATTTTTGCAGTAAACTTTAGTATTTTATATCAGAAAAAAAACGACTCTGGGAAATTATGTCTGGAATAGTTTAGGTTTTTACATCCTTTAAAAATGTTTTTCAGATCATTCTACAGTTACATAAGGTTTCCATAAGGTCTCCTCTGATACTTCTGTGTATGAAGGTTTATCTGTGAGGCATCCAGACCAGTTAATCCTCTCATTCTTATCCTGTCAAAACAAAAAGAGCAGAAAAAAAACAAATAACTCAGTTTTTCTGTTTGTTTTTGTGGCTTTTTTAAATGCATCCATCACTAGTCGCTGTTGCATAGCTACATGACGTTGTGTCTTCGCCCACATACAAGCGCACACAGAAATGACTGCCAAGAAAAATACCCTCTCACTTCCTGCCTTAGGAATCAGAGCTAACCCAGCCGCATATGTCAGAAAACCACAAACACGTGTGTTTTCTTAACATGTACGAACTCATGCTGGCAGAGCTCGACTCTGCACAGTGAAACTGCCTTCAGATCACAAACGCCTTGAAGCTTAATGCTGCCTGTGCTAGTCGTTGAGCTCTGTCTGTGCTTATATAGCAGGAGCGTCTCAGTCTGAGTTTGAAGATGGCAGCGAGAGCCTGAGGAACTCTTTAAGCTTTCTAGCTTCTCTGTTGGCCTTGATTATTCATATCTACACACGCAGAAACGTTACCAGCTTCAGTATCAGCATCTTCTCTCTCATTATGCTATAAGATGAAAAAAATGGGCAGAAAGACATGATTGTTTGCTTCTATACTGATCTGAAAATGAAATGAGTAATCAGGTCTCAGGATAACCAACCCTGTGTGATCTCTGTCCTCCTGTTGAGGTCATAATCCATGTTTTCTTCTGTGTTCGGACAGATTGTGCTGCTGGTCCTCACTGCTCGGCACGATGAGTGAGACGGAGGGTCAGTTCTACAGTGTCCAGGTGGGGGACTCCACCTTCACTGTGCTCAAACGCTACCAGCAGCTCCGTGCCGTTGGCTCCGGGGCCCAAGGCATTGTCTGGTAAGATGTTGCTACTATAGTTTTTATTAATTGATTTGTTTTCAGATAATTTTGAATTCTTTATTAAAAGGGATGCAAAATATTGATGATTGAATTCTTCTAAAGTTAATTGATCTTATGGATGGACAAATGATTAATTGATAGATTGATCAAGTTTTCTCTTGTCAAGAGGATCTGTTGGTAACATGAAGGGCTAAATGCAGTTTTTTACTCTATACGGAGTTTTAAAAGAAAAACGGGTACATCATTATATTTTAACAATTAATTGTGCCTCCTGTGTTACATACTGACTGGATAAATAAAAAATGTTTTCTTACACATTATTAAAGTTATTTATAAAATATTAAAAACATATTTATATAACAACACAGGAACCTGTTATGTTACTAGAAAGAAAAATGAAAAAAAAATATGTGAAACTATCATTAATAGACACCAACCAGAACCATCAGTTTAAAAGCATTGCTTCCTCTCTCTGAACGCTGGATTACACTAAAAACAGAGCTAGTTCACAATTAGGGTCCACAACTTAGACAGATTTATTTTGTTATTTTGAATACACAAGTGTAGACAAAAAGAAATTAGGTTTAGAACAGCTCTCTAGACAATTTCAGTTTTTAAAGTGCAGCCTTGATAAGGTAAGCAGCAGGTGTTGTTATGCTGCTGCTACTTCGTCCAGCTCCTGAAGCACTCGCTTCTCCTGGCTCAGGGGAGGAAGAGGACAATGATGACGATGCTGTGAGGGTGGTAGTCCCCTGGGTTGAAGAGGCTGAAGCAGCAGTGATGCCATCGGCAGGTTTAGCAGCGACAGACGACGCTGGAGAAGGATAAGAAGCCAGTGGGGGCCGGGAGGAGCCAGATGGGGATGTTTCAGCATTTGGCAGGGAAGCATCTAGAGTGCTCTCCTCATTTTCACCTGCAGAGGGCTGGGCTTCCCCTCTAGATGCCGAAGATTTCCTGGGAACAGTTTTAGAGGAGCTGCCATTCACGCAGAGCTCTTTGTTTCTATCGGCGCGGTATAGCATCAGGCCAACAGCTGGATACAGCCAAGACCCCATCAGAATGATGGCGCAGCAGTTACATACCTCCTTTTTTGAAGAGAGTTCGAGTTGGAGATTATCCATTTCGTTTTCCAATGAGTACTCTGGCTTCCTCCCACAGTCCAAAAACATGAATGTTAGGTTAATTGGCTTCTCAAAATTCTCCATAGGTGTGAGTGTGTGCATGAATGGTTGTTTGTCCTGTTTGTCTCTATGTTGCCCTGCGATGGACTGGGGAACTGTCCAGGGTGGACCCCCCCTCTCGCGACCCCGCTTGGGATTAAGCGTGTAAGAAGATGGATGGATGGTTTTCCAGTGAGCGGATGTTAGGGAGCAGGATTGATGGAAGCGGAGGTCTGTGCAGATCTCTCTTTAGCTTCGCAGTTAGCCCCCCACTGCACCGTCTCGCACATCTCTTCCTCCGTCAGTTATTTTCTGCTGTTGTTTTGTTGACACCCATCTATAGCACTTTGCAGCTTTTTAAACAATCAAAAACGTCATTATTTAAAACATTTTGTGGCTGTAGCTCCAGCAGGCGTTGGCGATCATAGATGCGAGTTTGATGTCTAGTTTGTATCTTGTACTTTTTTAAATGGTATATTTTGTGAAATTTAAAACTACTTATGTGTTTTCATTTAATTCAATATTTTAAGTGATGTTTTTATTTATTTATTTTTTCCAACTTTTTAAATACTGCAATGAAACGGGGACATTTTCCCCCTATACGACTACAAGCGTATAACACCGCACCACATGAAGAAGTAGAAACCTCAGCTGTTTCCAACTATTTCAATGCCTCTATCTCATCTGAGAGACAGTAACTGCTTTCCAAGAGTGTTTTTAGTGTGTTGATGGTAGTGATATTTATGGGTCGAAACAGAAGAGGTTTTTAGATGTTTATATTTGCAAAGGCTTGTCGGTAGGAAATGTCACTCCCCCAACATGTTTTTCCTCTCAGAGATGTTTTCATAGTCAAGAGTTTTTCTAGGTGTGCAGTGCGATTAGTGCCTGGAGGGGCGTTGGTGCTAAAATGACATAATTTGGCTGTGTGCAAAAACCAGGCTTAACTCAGTAAAAGTTTCTACACCAGGGGGCGTTGTTTTTCACATAGCATCAGAGCTTTAAAGGAATAGTACACCCAAAACATGATTAGCCTTCATTTTCTACTCACTCCCATGCTGAACAACACTCTGGAGTACTTTTTTGATATCTCAAATGCATCTGGAGATCTGGGAGGCTTCTTGCTGTCTGCTGACATTCAAATAATGGAGGTCTATTGTGCCCGAGACAGAAAGGTCCATAAAGTCCACAAAAACGTGTCAATATTCCTCCATACTGCTCGTCCAATGTATTCAAAGTGTCCTGAGTGGGTAGCGTCCATAATTTACTCGAAACGAAGTCATTTAGAATGTTTTTAGAGCATAAACAGTAGTGTATAGGATTTCCTGAAAGCGCGCGCCTGCGCGTTCACGACGCTACGGAAGCCGGCAGACCAACCAGATGAAAGTGCGCATTCAGCATGTCAGCAGACAGCAAGAAGCCTCCCAGATCTCCAGATGCATTTGAGATATCAAAAAAGTACTCCAGAGTGTTGTTCAGCATGGGGGTGAGTAGAAAATGAAGGCTAATCATGTTTTGGGTGTACTATTCCTTTAAGGTGTGGTGAGTTCACTGGTCAGAAACGTATTGTATCTTTTCTAGACCGACCATTTAGAGCCCAATAAGCTGAAGCAGGTCAGACGACCAGTCTTTCCTTCCTGTTGGACGGAAATGTTTCTGGTTTAGTTTAAATTCTTGACCACTGCTGCAGTTTATAAATGGTAATGTTTGTTTCACTGTTGTGATCTACATGCATAGAAATTCAGTTTTGTACACGCTCTGTGTATTGTAACATTTAGGGTTGCGTTTAAGGAAGATGACAGTCAAAAACTCACAACTCATGAAGAATGAGCAGAGTCCAAACAAACCGTAATATTAAAAATAAAATAGGGAAATCGACATGTCCGTCTGAGTACATGTATTTCTCTGCATCACGTCTCCCGCACTCTCTGCAGAGAAACAGTGGCACCTAGCAATATCTTAAAGAGACAGTACACAATAGCGACTGTTACAGTATACGAAAAGACCATAAACTTAGTCTAAGTCTGATTTTTTTTTTTCCAACAACAGTAAAAATGGTTAAACTGAAAACATTGCCGCTCCTGATGACCTTTTTGAAGCTTTTGTTTCTGATAATGACTAAAAGCCAGCCTAGATGGAAGTGCTTTATTTTAAACGTGAGCTGCATTTTAATAGATCTATAATATTATATTATTAAAATCAAATGTCATTTTGTTGTTTCAATGTTCAGCTTGAACACTTCTGCTGTGTAATCCTGGCCTGGCCAGCCAGACTGACCTATGCCATGTTTACTGTGATTTACTGTGGAAAGGAGCAGAAACTGTTTAGAACCAATCAGATGACTGTGGAGGTGTCCCAGAAACTTAATAATTTTAATATTTACAATAGCTAGATTTTAACAATATAAACTGATAGAAAATTGATCTTGGATTTTTGTTTACCTCGAGGTCAACAGGAGATTCTCTCAGTGAAATACATTTGTTGTTTCTAACCTTTGTTTCTGTTTTTTTTTTTTTCTCTTTAATGTAATCTGTGACCAGCTCTGCCCTGGATACGGTCCTTGGTATACCAGTGGCTGTGAAGAAGCTCTGTCGGCCCTTTCAGAACCAGACCCATGCAAAGCGAGCCTACAGGGAGCTGGTGTTGCTCAAATGTGTCAACCACAAAAATGTAAGATTCTGTGTGAAGCTCCAACCTGCTTAAAACCATGTTTTATTATTTTAAAGGGATTCAAATAAGTCTAAATAAATCATGGAAAGGGATACTGGTTTTATGAGTTGAGCTATTGCTTAAAAACAGAACGCAGCTATATTTGAAGTGTTACAGTTTGACATTATTTGTGTGAGATCAGATGAGTCAACATAACTGAGGGGAGAAAATCAATCTCTCTTTTCAAAGAGGAGAGTAGAGAGTAACAGAGTGAGTCTGTCTTTACCCTCGCAGATCATCCGTCTGATCAATGTTTTCACGCCTCAGAAGTCTCTGGAGGAGTTCCAGGATCTGTGAGTGACCGGCGAGGGTTTCTAGAGCCTTACAAATCTGCTCACACTAAATAACATCCATATGTTTTTCTGTTATTTTTTTCTATTAATTTAGCTATCTAGTGATGGAGCTCATGGATGCCAGTTTATGTCAGGTGATCCACATGGACCTAGACCATGAGAGGATGTCCTACCTGCTCTATCAGATCCTTTGTGGCATCAGGCACCTGCACTCAGCTGGGATCATCCACAGGGTGAGTCCAGGGGTCAGATGTGCTAAAGGTGATAGAAACATGAGCTTATGTAAAAGACAGTTAAGAGAAAATAATATAAATTATTAATTCAAGAGGTTCAGGTCATTACAAGCCCAAATCATGACCAGCCCAAATCATGACCAAATTCGCCCGCCATACTTTGGATTTTTTGAGAGTAAAGCTGTCCTCTGGTAGCTTCTAAACAAGCCTTGTTATTCTGAGTTTTTCTATTTCTGCTTTGATTTATTTTTATAAATAACCTACCGATTCATCTACAGCCTGTATAATTCAATTCAGTTTATTTCTATAGCATCAATTCACAACACGTCATTTCAAGGCACTTTACAGTTCACCAGATTATACAATCAAATTGATTCAAAGTTTTCTATTTAAGGAAAACCAGTTGATTGCATCGAGTCATTGACTCAAAGGCAATCCCTCAGACTAAGCATGCTTGTAGCGACAGTGGAGAGGAAAAACTCCCTTTGAACAGATAGGAACCTCCTGCAGAACCAGGCTCAGTGGGAGCGGCCATCTACCGAGGCCGACTGGGGTTCAAAGAGACAGAAGCAGATATACAAAAAGCAACTGTAAATCAGCTCCACAGGCGGCTCCGTCCAGGAAACACAGCCATGTCAGAGGTTGAAGGAAACACATTCAGCCAGTCACAGTGAAACACTGAAAAACAAGCCGACATCTATAAACAAGGGTGATATAAAATGTTATGATATGATAACATATAAAAATGGTAGATATTTTTCTTCCCCTCCAGGATCTGAAGCCCAGCAACATTGTGGTGAAGTCTGATTGCACTCTGAAAATCCTTGACTTTGGTCTGGCGAGGACGGCTTGCACAAACTTTATGATGACCCCCTATGTAGTTACCAGATATTACCGCGCCCCGGAGGTAATTCTGGGCATGAAGTATAAGGAGAACGGTGAGCATATTTCTCAGAGACAGGAACGGTTTCAGATCTTTTTTTGTTATCCAACGTGTGCTTTCATACAATTACTGAAAAATCCCTAAAAAAAAGATTGTTTAATTTTTCTAATACATTTGATCTCGTTGATCTATTAGTGTTTCTGTTTACTGTTTGTGGATGTCACTGAATGCTTTTAATCTGCCACTACTTTGCTTCAGTGGACCTGTGGTCAGTTGGCTGCATTATGGCTGAAATGATCTGTCATAAAGTCCTCTTTCCTGGAAAGGACTGTATCCTTCCTCATCTTCCTCCTATTAACCTTGTTTCACATCTTACTTTGGTTTTCACTGCATTGAATCCTCAAACACAGAAATCTGTTCATGGTCACTTTTAGGAATATTTTAGTGAATCTCTAGGTCAATATTTTCTACCCAATATTTTTAATCTGTTTTAACAGTTTTAGCTAACAAGAAGACAATTTCTTTGGATATAGAGTTTATTGCAACAAACAGGAATTTGGAGGCTTTTGCAAGTCTTCATTAAAATTAGGCTCTCTTGATGCTCCAGGTATCCTATAGGTCCTGCATGCAACAAGTGACTGAGATGTCCCAGTTTTTATAAGCTGCTCAATATTAGAGAAATCTGATCAAGTTGGTAAACATTCCGATAATTTCTTGTAATAAATTCACAAATAAAAGGTTAAGATCAATGGACACCGATAGAAAAGGATTATATCAACAAGGTTAAATTTAAAGACTTGCCTCTAAACAAAATATCTGTAGTTTTTTATGTAACTTTCACGCCCATTAAACTTCAACGAGGTTTTAAGGCATCAGATGTATTAGAGGCACAGGGAGCCTGAATTTACTGCAGTTCATGCATTCCTTTGCAGTGTGCACCCTGAATAACTTTGCAGCATAATGTGCAGATCAAATTACAATTTACATAAATCTGTAGAAACCACTTTTCCAGGTTCTTCAATCCAGCGCCCAGTAAATCCACCAATTCTCACATGTCATGACACTACTTTTTATATGAGATCCTTTATGATAATTTTTTAGTCGCATATATGTGATGAAGGGTGAATTTACTGATTGGTCCGTTCAATCAGAGCATGGGGCACAATAGCGCATGTAAACTATACTTATCCAACGTCTCTAATCATTTTATGACCCCTTCCTTTTGTACGCTTGGACCTTTTTTTCATACCTAACAGAATACTGTTCTCATCATCCGTTGTTGCTGCAGACGGTTCGTTTCTTTCAGTGTCTGTCTACATGCACATGTATCGTAGTTGTATGCAGTGAGCTGCCAGTTGAAAGCAGCGGTCTCTAGTCGGCTGAAACGGGTGACAGGAAACTTTTAGTCAAATAAAAACAGATGGAAAGACCGGGGATGAGCTTTTAAAGCAGTTCAGGAAGTTTCCGGGCAATCTATTGGGCTGAATGTGTTCATTTGTTGGAAACTATGCCTTTAAAAAGATCTGATTAGTTGTTGTCTTATGTAATCCGCTGCTGCAACATCAAGGAATTGATGCAAAGTGATTGGGGTTGTTTTGGTTCGACACACTTTGTTAGAAAAAGAGATGGATAGGAACTTAAAAAAAAGGTCCCTGGTGTACGCTTTTAAAGTTTGCATTTGTGATTCATGTGATATTTGTGAAGAATCGGCGCCGGATTATATGCAGAGCTCTGGAGATGTTATCAGGGGGAGAGAAAGCTTTCAGCTTGAGTGGATGTGGACTGGAGGAAACTGTAAATGGCCATTTGCCACTTCTTAACCCTCCCAAGTAAACAGGGCAACTCAGAGAGCGAGAGGGAAAGACAAACTTCATGCTCCTCTGTTAAAAACACACTCACATCGATGAACACAAAGAGAAAGCGAGGGAGAGAGCAACAGCTGTGTAAACTGATAAGCGTAGGCGAGAAAAAGGCCTGGAAGGCTGCAGCCGGTTTGAAGCCAGACTGAAGATGTGCGCCGCATGATGAAAGCAGGAGAGCGAAGCTCTGGAAGGGGACGGACCCAAACAATGAGGCGCCGTTTGTTTTACATCTCCGTGTTTGTCTAACCATTCTCTTTCACACCCTGCTCTGCATTTAATGTGTTTGTTTTTTTATTGTCACTTTTTCATGTAATTATTTTGTTTGTTTGTGGGATTTTGTGTCACATTTGTGTGTTTTCTGTTCCCAGTGGACATCTGGTCAGTGGGGTGCATCATGGGAGAGATGGTAAAGGGCAGCGTCATCTTCCAAGGCACTGATCGTATCCTTCGCTCTTCTCATAAACCAGTTTTTGTCTCTCATTGTCGCTCTGTGTAATCCTTCAGACACATCTGTCAGTCGTGATGTTTTTTGATTTTATTGCTGTCGAATAGATTAATGGGTTTAAACTAAGATTCTTCCATGTTCTCTCTTCAATGATTAATAATCAGACGTCTGGATCAGACATCTGCAGCCTCTCTAATTGTCAGATGGAATCAGACTGAAGTCATTCACATCATTAGCATTTATAGTGTCTCTGTTTCTAATTATCGTCTCTCGTTCACCAGCAGCCTGCTTGTGTCGGCAAGTAGCTTGAAATGGTTGAGTGGGAACAGTTCAGGTTATACTGCTTTTCATCCTCTGAGGTCATTTTCTTTTCCTGTTTGTTTTTATTAGATTGATATCTAAATCTAAAAAGATCCACTTGGTGAAATTGGATCTGTCAGTTTAACTGATGAATATGGATTATTGTTTGCCAAGATCTCTTTAATGATAGAGTTCAGTGTGTATTATTGTTTATATTTGCAAGTATTTTAAGCACGGATATCTACACAGGGTTCCCGCGGGTCCTTAAAAACTCTTAAAAGGCATTGAATTTTTCAAAATAAAACTAAGGCCTTAATTGGTATTAAAATGTCCTAAATCAGTCTTTCGTAGGTCTTAATTTTTAAAACATCATAAATAGGATTATTTTTATTACGATTTATTTTTGTAATCTAAATAAAACATTAAAATTGACTATTTTTTTTGTATTTAAAAGAAAATAACAGCTCGCCATTATTGGTTCTGTCCCGATAGCGGAACCTATAAAAGCGTTGTTGCGGCCGGGACATTTGGGAGATGCACCATTTACTTTTTGTCTGGAAAATATGAGCAAGTGTTAATGTTACGAAAATTGTCTATCCAGGCAAGAGTTTTCTCCATGGCTAAAACCAGGGAACATACATGAGGCTCAGTGGATTTTGTGCAAGAAGTCATTCAAGCTCGGAAAGATGGGAATTAAGGGAGTGGAGTAGCACATGCGAAGCGCGAAACACAAAGCATCAAAATCGAGTTACCAAGAAACAGCCGGTATTTCTGTTTTGTTCCACCCTTGTCTCTGCAACGCCTCCACTTGTCACCAAATCAAACATACTAAGAAAACGATACAAAGGAAAATAGCTGCAAAAAAGACTTAGCACTGGTTATGTTGTTGCTTTAAAACTGATTTGTTTTATTACCTGCTAAAACAAAGTTTGTGAATTCAGTTAGATAAAGTTAAAATATATCTGTAATTTGTGTGGGAAGCTTTTCAAAGTTTGAAACATTAGTGCAGTGGTTTATGTTAAAATAAACCTTTGGGTTAAGTTGTCGCAAGCGGGTTTTTCTTGTGTTTCTTGTGAATTTGGTCTTAAATTTTTATTTCAAGTGGCAATAAAAAGTCTTGAATTTAACTTGCCTTATGCTGTAGGAACCCTGCTACACTAATAGGTCTTCAACTAGATGAACCTCGGCACCATGTAGACACACTAAAATCCTGGTGTGAATTATTTTTATGTACTTATTTTCTGCAGAGCCTTGTAATAGTATTTATTCCCCATTTTACGTTTAATCTTTTTATTGGGAATTGTTTATGAAACCAAAACAAGGTTATACATATTTTAAGAGCGATGAAGTCAGATTATTCAGACCTATTGCGTAAATTCTTTAGAAACACATTTTTAGTGCAATCACAGCTACACACGTTTAGTTTTGTGTCCTTAGCTTTGCATATCTTGGAAAGCTAGACTAGTTTTTTCTTTTTATAATTTGCCTCTAATTGGCTCTTTTTTCCAGTCTTCTCCTCCATCTGTTTGTCCATTAGCTTTATCCAGCTTTCCTGCCCCAGATAACAAAAAGTACCCCATACAGGCCTGCTACCGTTACTGTGCCCCATGATAGAAGCGTGGAAGCACTGCGCTGCTGCTGAGTCAGTCAGAATGATTCCACCAGGTGCACTGCCGTGTATTTCTGAAGCATCTCAGTGAAGTTGGCACTCACGTAGCTTTTCCACTTCTATTTTTGCAACTTGCCATACTGACCCTATGTCAATCTGAAGCAGAACAAATCATCCAGACAAGAAAGGAGATAATTGGAGGAAAAAGTTGATCCTGTCGAGTTTTCAAATAGAAAACTGCATGGTGCAGACTGTTCATCGCATTTCCTAGACTTCGGTGTAATAACTAATTCAGTTTAAACTAAAAAGCAAACAAAAATTACTGTTAAATTAAAACAAATATTTGAGTTCACACCAATAATAGATCCAAAGAAAAGAGGGTAAGGTGATTAGATAGAGAGCAGGTGCCTGAGGTGTGGGTATTACTGGCTAAATAGCCACTTTCCTCTTTTATGTTAAGCCTAAAAGTACACTATTATAGCTTCACATGATCAAACCAAACAGAGGCTCTGCTCTGAAACATTCCCGGTCGAATAGGTTGCCTGCCAAAAAGCACTGCACTTCCATATTCAGTGGGACCCCATCTGTCAGTGCTCCTTTTGCACCAAACAGCAGTTTGTCATGAGGAAATGTTGGGTTTTGGCCCGCTACCTGATGGGGGTTTAGAAGCCCATCAGATAGCGTTCCCCCCATGTTAAGCAGGGGGGACACTAACTGATGGGGTTTATAGGCCTTTCAGATAGCGTTTCCCCCCTGATGTCATTTACGTTGAGCAATAAATGCAAAACTCTCTGCAGGTACTTGTCTTTGTCGTCCAGGCTATTCAGCTGGCTTTTGAAACACACGGCAAGAAGGTGGGGGCCGGTTGGTGAGGGTTATGGGGGTGAGAAAAGAAAAGTTACTAGTAAAGGTAACGCAATAGTTACTTTTACTAGCAACTAGTTACTTATATTGTGGAGTAACTCAGTTAGTTACTCAGTTACTTTTTGGGAGAAGCAACTAGTAACTATAATTAATTACTTTTTCAAAGTAATGTGCCCAACACTGCCTACGTGGCTTGTGATACACTGGGAAAAGGACTTCTTCTTGCTTTCTGCCAGAAAGTGTTTTCTTTTTACCATTAATCTATAAAAGCCTGAAATTACAGAACACAGCTTTTGACAAACTCCCATCTGAGCTGTGGACCTGTGTAGCTCCTCCAGATATGCTCTAGGAGTCTTTCTTATAGCTGCTACTTTGAATAATACTCATCCAATCAATGTAGAAGAGCAGCTATGTTTTCATATGTTTGCAGTCAGACTTCAATTTTGAATTAGGGGATAAATAGTTGCCTGTATTTAAAGGTTGTAATATTGTTTCTTAACAAAATCTGCTTTAAACTTTTCTATAACTTAAGAAAATTATGAACTATTTTGTTTTAGCTTAGCCCAAAGCTCTCAAAAAACTTCAAAAGTAAGAATAAATGCTGACATGTTTTTTTTGTAAAGTTATCCTCACTTATTAAGCCTTATGTGACACAAAATTATATTTTTAACCCTTTAAAGCCCGATCCAAGAATAAAACAAAACAGAAAATAACTTTTTTTTTTGGTTCGAAGTCCTTATTTGGCCTTTTAACAAAATATGTAAAAAGAAAAAACAAATACATTTTTGATATTAATAATTTTACTATGCGATAAGTCAAGATTATTTGTTTTGTAGTCTTCTGCTCTCTGTTATCAGGTATATCTGATTGCGTACAATAGGATTTTGAGCAAAGTTTTTACCATTAAATTATGCAAAAGGTGTCAGACGCAAAACATTTCAGAAACAGCATGTATCAAATACGATACATTTGGCATTACAGGGTTAAGCCTTTATCTTGATTTACCACATTACTTTATAATTCTACTGAAATTTCAGCTTCGAGTTAATGTTTTATACATTTATATTGGAGGACTTTGTGCCAATGAAGGTTTCTCTTGTATTATGCTTGTGTTTTTCCCTTTTGCTTCCTCGTGTTCTGCAAAATTCCTTTTAAGTTTCCTTAACTAACGGCTTTGTCCAGACATTGACCAGTGGAATAAAGTGATTGAGATTCTGGGTACGCCAAGTCTAGAGTTTATGAACCGACTCATGGAGACCGTCAGGAACTATGTGATGAACAAGCCGCAGTATCCAGGCGTCAGCTTCACAGACCTGTTTCCAGATTGGGCTTTTCCGTCTGAGTCTGAGCAAGACAAAGTGAAAAGTAAGAGCTTTGGTTACTTAAACTCAGCTTTTATTTGTCATATATTATTCTGTTGATCTGCTCTGTGATGCAGCATATTTTTGGGATGGAAATTAAACTAATTGCTAATCTTATAGATCATGTCCAGTGTTAGTAAAAATGTTGGCCTGCATAGCAGGAGGCCGTTATTAAGCTTTACGCATGGTAACACTTTCCCTGCTGCCTTAACAGCTGCTCAGGCACGAGACCTGCTCTCCAAAATGCTGGTCATTGATCCTGAATGTCGTATATCTGTCGAAGAAGCCCTTCACCACCCCTACATCCATGTGTGGTACGACCCTGCAGAGGCCGACGCGGTGAGGGAACCGTTGGTTCATTTCCTCAGCAGAGTAACCGTGCATGACTTTACCCTGATGGAGCTTGTTCTGTTTGTTTCTCAGCCTCCGCCCCAGATCTCAGATAAACAGCTGGAAGAGAGGGAGCATTCCATCGAGCAGTGGAAAGGTGATGCACCGCCCTCTAGGGACACCAAACAGCATTACACTTTACTCGTTTATATTATTCACTGGGTTTCTGCGGTCCTAAAGTATGGAACTGGACATTTTAGGGTTTTCCTAATCTAGTTAGGTATACATTAAGGGAAAATATTTGTATTTCTAGATCCAGCTAAGCTGCTCTTAACACATCTGCTTTTAATGCTATATAAGAGATGCTAACAGAAAGACTAGGTTAGTTGATCTCTCCCAATCATCATCTATACTGTATATTCTATTCATCTGTACCTACACCCATCATCCAATTTTTCGTTTGTCTGTCCGTCTGTTCATCCGTCCATCCGAGCTTGTATTAATCTCCATCCATCAGTCCAAGCGTCTCTCTGTCCATGTATCTTATCATTATTTCTCTCATTCTTTGGTTTCTAGTTAAAGTCCAAAGTAATAATAAAAAATAAAATATTTTTTGTTTCTTTTTAAGTACATTTACTTCCATTTTCTAATGAAAAAAAAAAATAAATTCTCTGGGTCACCAGCACAAATGTTAGGTGCACCCAACCATTTTTTTGTTTTTTAATCACTGTTTATATAAAGAATATTGACTTATAAAACAATAAGATAACAACCAATCAGCAAAAAGCAAAAACATTTTTATTTGAAGCCTAACTCTAGAAGAACTTAGTGAGAAATAGTAAGTGTTCAAAGTCACTCACTGCGCTGAAATTTAAACTTTAACATTTTAAGGCTAAATGTGTAATGGACAAACCTATCTTCATGGATCTGCCATTGCTATATAGCGTGTTTCATTTTAGGGACAGAGATTTTATTCCCCGGCTCCCTTTGTAAAAACATTACTTCCTGCTGGGGGGCTGACGACACGATCACAGCTACCGATTCTCTGCAGCTTTTTATACAAAAGGATTTTCCTTGCATTTTCACCGAGTGCAGCGCTAACAGAACCTGTGGGTTCAGGAGGACTCGTCTGTCTTCTGAAATCTGAACACAATGGCTCCAGCTGTGACTTTCAGACCGGCAGAGACTTTTTTCAAAAACTGTTCTTCGGAAAGATCATTTTCAGACACCATTTATTTTCCTGCAGCTTCACATTTCTGAACTAATGGAGCCTCAGTCATGTTTTACTAATCCTTACATGTTTCTGTGCAGAACTTATTTATGAAGAAGTAATTGACTGGGAGGAGAGGAACAAGAACGGTCTAATGAAAGAAGACTGCTCAGGTTGGTTCAGCTCTGTGGCAGCTTCTATACCCTGTCTTTACTTGGAGTGTTTAAACATCTGGTTCTGTCCCGTTTACCTGTGTCTTGTCTCAGATGTGCCGTTGGGTTCCGCTTCCCAGTCCTCCTCCGCCAATGACATCTCATCCATGTCCACAGAGCACACGCTGGCGTCAGACACGGACAGCAGCAGCATCGACACGCTGACGGGGCCCCTCGATGAGGCCCAGTGAATCTGTGGCCCCGCAGGCGTCTGACTCATCAAAAAAATATTCAAAATATCGATCTTCTGTTTAGGTTTTATCCGTCTTGCTTGTGTTTCTCTTCTAATGAAAATATATTTTTTTTGTTTGTTTACCATTTGTGATCTGGAGGATCATGTTTGGGACTGTTGCCTTGAGGTCAAAAAAAAAAAAAGAGAGAGAGAACTCTGTTTTCTTTTTCTCTGTGAATGTTAAACCTGATCATCTATACGGTTTGTGGGGTGGGTGGGGAATTAGAGGTTTGCATCGTATGCCTTTGTTTTAGTAGTTTTTATTTTTTGAAAATATCAAAAGTTTTTGTCATCAAATGAGAGCAGACAGACGGAACAGTTGTTTGCCGCTCTCTGTTGCATGCAACGCCAAAAAGAACAAAAAGCTGATCGGCCACCTTAAGTTCCTCTAATGGTCCATGGCGGATTTTATGAATTTGAACCTTTAGCACCCTGATGGTATTGCAGATGTTCACAGTGGTGCTAGCTGTGCTGAAATGTGTCGTGTTTTTCATGAGCCATCACGTGTGTGTGGATTTCCGGCGTTTTACTCCTGACAGCAGGAAGATGCTGTAGTTTCAGTGTTAGTTTTGTTTCTAGCTATATCGTACTGTATGTAGACACAGGATCAGCCCGTATCATTTGAGGTACTGACAGTTCATTTCTTTAAGCAGATCATCATCCTATAAATCTAAAAGAGGCATAGTGATTCATGTATTTATAAATATATATATATTCTTTTTTTTTCTTGCAAAAGTTTGCACACAAGCCACTATATGGTATGTAGGCCTCTTGTTAGAAGCATCTTAAAGTAAAAGCATGGGCTGCTGTTTTTCTAAAGCATTCCTTTAGCATTGGGAGAGGTGAAAAATTAGTGATAATCAGATTATACGTGGAAAGGCAGCACAAAACGAAGAGATGTTTACTTTGCATGATGATCAGACACCTTCAGGATGCTGTGAGTCTAATAGAATCCATCCAGATCTGTTTATTTTGTTTATACCCTAGCGTTATCTTTATGCTAATGATGGAGCATTGTTTGTTTTATTTTTGTTTTTTTCCTTTAAGACTGTATGTGATATAAAAAGTGTGCAGTGCAGCACTGCTTTTATTTCCTATAGATTAATTCTTATAGTCTGAATTTTCCTCATGTTGTCGTGGAAGAGTCTGTTAGGGAAGTTTGCCCAGGAACAAGGGGATAAAAGATCATTTTACATGAGCTGCAGAGCTGCTTTTTGCTTAAATGATTGCACCGTTTGTTGAAGAATCGGTTTTATGACACTATGGAGTCACTTAAGCACCACATTGTTCACCATCATGATTTTTATTCTTTCTGTCATGCCTTATCCTGACGAGCGGCCAACTTATTCTCTAAATCCTTAGTTCTCTATTTGAGCTTTTCCGAGATGTATGACTGCAATGACAATGTTAGCACTTGGCCAACATCTTTACCCAAACTCCAAATAATAAAGTGGACATCAGTGATCCATCTTGTTGGTTGTGATGTTCTTCATAAGACAATCTCAGAAACGGAAATATTAAAACTTTTATTTTCAGTTCATTATTTTGAAAGTATAAAACCTAATCAGATTCACTAGAAATAAAAGCCTTTAGTTTCGTTTCTCTAATTACATGTTTAGGAAAATCTCCAGAATTCTTGAAATGACAATTTATTGTAAACAATCCCTGCGCTGCACAGCTACTCCGTGATTGGTTAGTTTTCTTATTAAATTAATGACTAATAAAGCATGGAGGAGATCAGCGTATGGCTCTGCTGAACTTTGCTTTTCAGCACTAATTTTTCACCAATCAAGGTTGATCGTCATTAAAGCAGGTATTATAATATGCAGACTGGGGTGATTGATTTCTTCACGAGAGGCAACAGAGCAAAAGGAATTTTTATTTTATTATCGGATGGTTCTGACATCACAGATTAACACTGTCATATTAAAACTGTGATAAAAATCAAGTGATATTCTAGTTGTTTCCTGGATACAGATGTCTATGTGTCCCTTGAAGAATATAACTGCAATCCACCTTCTATACTTTACCCAAACTTTTACACAACAGAAACATCTTCAGCAGAGGTGGGTAGCAACTAGTTACATTTACTCAGTTACATTTACTTGAGTTACACTTTGATAAAAAAAAACAAAAAACTTTTAAAACTAGTTTTACTTTGCTGTACGTCTTATTTTTACTTGAGTAATATTCTTGTCAAGTATCTCTAATCCTTCTTGAGTAAAATCTCAGACTACTCTGTCTCTGAGTAATTTGAATGATTCCAAGATCAGGTAAACATATTGATTATTTTTACAGTTTAAAAAAAATAAACTGTATATATTAGTTTGTCCTAAAATATACACTCGCCGGCCACTTTATTAGGTACCCCATGCTAGTAACGGGTTGGAGCCCCTTTTGCCTTCAGAACTGCCTCAATTCTTGATGGCATAGATTCAACAAGGTGCTGGAAGCATTCCTCAGGGAGTTTGGTCCATATTGACATGATGGCATCACACAGTTGCCGCAGATTTGTCGGCTGCACATCCATGATGCAAATCTCTCGTTCCACCACATCCCAAAGATGCTCTATTGGATTGAGATCTGGTGACTGTGGAGGCCATTTGAGTACAGTGAACTCATTGTCATGTTCAAGAAACCAGTCTGAGATGATTCCAGCTTTATGACATGGCGCATCATCCTGCTGAAAGTAGCCATCAGAAGTTGGGTACATTGTGGTCATAAAGGGATGGACATGGTCAGCAACAATACTCAGGTAGGCTGTGGCGTTGCAACAATGCTCAATTGGTACCAAGGGGCCCAAAGAGTGCCAAGAAAATATTCCCCACACCATGACACCACCACCACCAGCCTGAACCGTTGATACAAGGCAGGATGGATCCATGCTTTCATGTTGTAGACGCCAAATTCTGACCCTACCATCCGAATGTCGCAGCAGAAATCGAGACTCATCAGACCAGGCAACGTTTTTCTAATCTTCTATTGTCCAATTTCCATGAGCTTGTGCAAATTGTAGCCTCAGTTTCCTGTTCTTAGCTGAAAGGAGTGGCACCCGGTGTGGTCTTCTGCTGCTGTAGCCCATCTGCCTCAAAGTTCCACGTACTGTGCGTTCAGAGATGCTCTTCTGCCCACCTTGGTTGTTATGGGTGGTTATTTGAGTCACTGTTGCCCGTCTATCAGTTCCAACCAGTCTGGCCATTCTCCTCTGACCTCTGGCATCAACAAGGCATTTCCGCCCACAGAACTGCCGCTCACTGGATGTTTTTTCTTTTTCGGACCATTCTCTGTAAACCCTAGAGATGGTTGTGCGTGAAAATCCCAGTAGATCAGCAGTTTCTGAAATACTCAGACCAGCCCTTCTGGCACCAACAATCATGCCACGTTCAAAGTCACTCAAATCACCTTTCTTCCCCATACTGATGCTCGGTTTGAACTGCAGGAGATTGTCTTGACCATGTCTACATGCCTAAATGCACTGAGTTGCCGCCATGTGATTGGCTGCTTAGTGTTAAGTGTTAACGAGCAGTTGGACAGGTGTACCTAATAAAGTGGCCGGTGAGTGTACACAATTCTCACTATAGGAAAATAGGATAAACAATATTTGGTAAAAGTATTTCCTCTACATGATCTTTTCCTTTATATTCATGACATTTTTTTGTGTTTTTTATGCATTTGAGTTGTTCAAATACCAACCCATGCACATAAAGTGTGTCTACATAATTTCTAAACATTAAATCAGATCTTTGTATCCAACAGTTACTCGGTATTTAAGTAGCTTTTTTAGCAAATTCTTTCTTGATTTTATTGAAGTAATTTCTTAGATGGCAACTGTTTTACTTGAGTAAAAAGATCTTGAAGTAGTTCTACTCTTACTTGAGTATTTGTAATATTTTGGTGCTCTACCCACCTCTCTGATTCTCAGTCATACTAACTGTATTAGATGACGTCTCCCATTTTTTAGGTTTTCTCTCTACTGCACCTTCTCAGCTGCTCCAACATTAATTTCAAGTCTATGTTGTAATGGATTCAATAGTATCTTGTTGAAAGTAATGTGCCTCATCATTAGTTACCTGTGTTCTGAAATCCTCCAGACTAGGGAGGATGGTTGGGGTTCTTTAATTTACCATACATCTGCCTCAACTTAGATACTAATACAAACTATGGTTTCAATCTTGTTCCTATGCTCCGCTCAGCTGATTTGACTGCTGAAGAAAATTGTAGTTTTGGCGGGGATTTGGGCGTTCAGGTGGCGCAGTGGTTAGTGACCCATGAATGGAGGCCTTAGTCTTTGATGCGGCCGACCCTGGTTCAAATCTGACCTGTGTTCCTGCTGCATGTCTCTCCCCCTCTCTCACACCTACTTTCCAAAAAACGAGCCTCTAGTGCCGTAAAAACTTTTTTTTTTTAATATTTTTGGGGGGGATTTATATGTTAGGATCCACATTCTGAACAGCTATTGTCTGCAGCTATGACCTTTTGTGGCTAACCCCCCTCCCCAGCTGTCATGTTAGAGCGGTCCATAATATCTCTATATCAAAAGTCTTTTTCCAATTACTTCAATGCATGTTTCTTTATGTTGACAGAAATTACCTAAATATATCCTACGGTTTACAATAAATCTGTGATCAAAATATCACCCTTTGACTGAAAGTGCAGAAATAAATGTTTAATTACCTACTTTATTGATATGCACATATTACAGTTTGTTCAGCTCGTTCATAAAAGCTCAAACTTAAACTCATATTAAGTCCTTATAGCCTTCTTATGTCCTCAATATGACTCATGAACTCTCTTCAGAAACTCTTGACAATGTATTCTGTCTTCTTTGCCTCACTGTTGAGCTCTCCAAAGGTGTCAAAGAACTGATCCATCTCCCGTTGCAGCGTCGCGTTACGGAGCTCTGCAGCAGCTCGGGCCTTCTCAGACTCCATTATCTTAGCCTGGACCACCTGGTACCAATGGCGCTGCTGTGAGAGATTCGTCTTCAGGCGAATAACCTCCACCTGCAGATCCTCATTTCTTTGTTCCAGGCTGATGGCAGTAAGGAAAAAAAAGAAAAGTTAAAACCATTGATAGACCACACTTTGTAGTATTTTAACTCATTGTAAAGTATCAGCAAAAAGCTTAATAAGCAACAGTTGTTAGCTGATTGGACAAGCTATAAGAGCATTTATAAACGATTCAAAGAGTTAAGAAATGGGACAAAATGTTCATGACAAGAAAACGTTTTAAAATAGATGCCAATCTGCCAAAGAGATCAACATCCCAGCAAACTCAGCTCTGGATCAGATCATAAAAAATCTAAAAACAAGCACAAAAAATGGCACAATGCCAAGAGCTACAGGTAAATATTGAGGTTAATATTTATCAATTTACAGTTGGAAAAACACCAAACATTTAATGTTCTTCTGTAAGGTTTTTCTGTAAGGTTTTCTGCTTTACAAAATGGGAACACCGACTGTTTCACTAACTTCTATCCCTAAAGCATCTCCCTCTTGGAGACTGCTCAGTAAAGCATGGTGGTGGAAACATGATGGTCTGGGCTTCATCTTCAGTGAATCAAACTGGTCAAAAGTTTTTCAGTTCTAAGGCCAATGATCTCAATTGGATTTTTCTAAATAAAATAAATAAATCAATTCATTTATAAATGAATAAATAAGGATCATCAGATGCCTCCAATAAAGAACAAAGATCAAAGAGCTGAAAAGTTTATTTTTAATGCCACAATTTCAGTATAGATTGATTAAAACATCTGAAAATGTCAACCGTAATTTTGTGTTTACTTTATAAAAACAGAAATAATATTCACTATTATTAGTTTGGTGGTTTGTAAAAATACTTCAAATCTGATGCTGCAAAATTTAGTTCTTTCTTTTTTTTAAATCATTTTGCTCACAAATATATCACATATAACTATAAATGATCCATGACTGTTGTTGTCTATTTTTAAACTTGGCCATATCTCCTAGATTCCACCAGATCTGCTTGTTTTGGTGATGTTCTATCTTTAATAGGAGAGGGGGGGATGTATTAAATGTTTCTTAGGGCCCCATATAACCCTTGTGTTCTATGTTCACTGCTGTTGGGTAATCCTGAATAATAAAGCCTGACTCTGTTGTACCTTAGGTTTTTCTAACACTTTTAACAGCTTACGTTTCTTCCACCCTGTGTTCATGCAGACAGTTTGTAGCTATTATATGCGATCAACTTCCTTCTTGCTCATTTTAGACCCGAATAAACACAAACCTTATTTCATCGAACATCAACCTTTATAGTTCAGCTTCTTTTGACCCTTGGAGCTGTCCTCTTATGCTCCCTGTCATATCATGGGAATTGTGATAGCCTCTTGTCTTCACTGGCTGGGTACCAATGCGTGACCTTACACCGACACATGCTCTATCTATATCGGTAATAAATGAGCTATGTGTTGTGTCTAGGTCAGCAGCATGGCCCCTTAAATTAGCTCTCTTTCCAGTGTCATGAGCTGTTTTCTATATGTCAGCAAGTCAAGTTTTTTTTCCACTGTGCACCAACCATCTGTTTAGCCATTAAATTACAAACTTGGATTCAGAGAAGGCAGACCAAGTCAGTTTTATTTGCACTAGTAAAGGCGGGGTTTTTTTGGGATCATACTACGTCACCAGAGACCTGTGGGATCATTTAGCTCTGTAAGCCAAACAGGATGTAGGGGGAAAGTTGAAGTGAACTTGGAAACAGAAACAGCGCAGCTTTTTGTAGAGGCACCGCTTATGGATACAGGAACATTGTGTTACCTTCACTGAAATGCACCATAAATCCATCTTAAATGCATTAGTACCGCTCCAGCGTTTACACAATTTGTTTTCTTTTAAATATCAAATTCTGACTTATAAAGTGAAAATTAATGTCAATTGTAAGGCAAATATATGTAGTTTTTATTTTACAAATAAAAATCTTATTAATTGTGACCATAGTTCCTCACTGAAACCAACTAGCTTCAGAGGTTTTCTAATTAGATGCTCTGTGAAGTATCAGAGGTTTGTTGATAAAAAGCTGATTAATTAGGATCATCGTGGAGACAAAGAACACACTAGATAGATCAGAGATAAACTAAGAGGGACTTTTAGAGCTTGTTTAGATTACGAAACATTTGCATGGATTTGGTTCTTGTAATCTGAAACAGACTATGGCACAACTGCAAACCTACAAGGACATGACCAGCAACCAAAAGTGACAGGTTAGGAATTCATTTATTTGCTCTACTTTATGTTGGTCACAACAAAATACTTATGTAAAGTTATATGAGGCCAAATTAAAGGAGTTTAATTTCTTTCTAAAGTACTGTGAGTGAACTAAATTGGCCAGTTTTAATCCTAGAACCAAATTTCCAATCACCTGATGATTCGCTCCTCATACTCCTCTCTCTGCTTGATGATCTGCTGCTGGAGGCCTGTCAGGATGCTTCTTAGAGCACTAGCAGACGGGTCAGCCAGGGGAACAGGAGGTGGCACCCTCAGAGACACTGGACCCTCCTTTGAACACTTGCTTTCAGCAAGAGGCCACAGATCCTGGCACTTCATGTGGCCTGTCTGGGAAGGCTGTTGAAGGTCCTGTCGATGGCAGGATCCTGAGTCCAGCTCTGGTTCCTGCTTCTCGTCTTGGTCTGGATTCTGCTCCTGTTTACATGAGAAACGGTCACCAATGGAGATGTCACAAGAGGGCCAGATGTTCTTGTCTTTGCTCAGAGGATCACTCTGCATCGCTTCTTCAGTACGCTCAGGGACCCATGGATTGTGCGTGTGCTTGTTGAGATGCTCCTGCAGGTTCATCTCTATGTCGAAGACCTCCTCCAAGCTGCTGGGTATTCCTGTTTCTGTGAGGTTATCATACAGTGACAAAGCGCTTCGATGCTCTTCGCCGTGTGACGGGCAGGGGCTTCGGCTCTGATAAGCCCCATCCTCTGTTTGCCAGTTAACTCCCTGTTGTCCTCCTCTTTTGTATTTGTTTGAAAGAAGCTCTGATTCCCAGGCTTGTCTTCCCAGGCTGCCTCTGCAGCTGCAGTAACTGGGATCTGGCCAAGAGCCAGGCTCTCTTCCTCCAACAACCCCTGTCTGAACCTCAGCCAGAGATGTGACCAAACCAGGCAGAGTGCTGCTGGACCCTGGGAGTCTGGTTACTAAAGGAAACTCAACCCTGCTCTCCATTTCCCTCTCCCTGGCCCTGCCTCGCTGGCCAAAAGGTGGACAGTTGTCATACAGGGGATCCGAGGAGCAGGAGCTGGCAGAGGTGGGGGTCTCAGTTGGAAGACAGGGCAGCTCCATAATCCAAGCAGGCACATGGGATTTCAAAGAGCAGTGGACAACCCTACCCCTTGCAGTAAAACTGGGATTAAAGGCCGGGTTTGTGGATTAGTGTGCGCAGCATGGAGCCTCCCTGTGCCAGGTTCTTGATGCTCTGGGGGTTAGCTGAAGGAAGGTGCAGGAACCCTGCTCCCCTCTCTGCTCTGCCTTTGATGACACTGCTGGACAGGTTCTAGTGTGAGTGTAGCCACCAGGGACTGTGTGTGTATGTCTTTAAGCAGGACTGACATCAGCTGTTACTTTAGCACAGCTCCTGGGGGAGGAACCAGGGTGTAACATAGTCCGGCTCATTCCTGAAGACAGTCACACATAACTGAGACCACAGAAATAGATGCTGTTTGTGGGCTCAAAGTGTGAAAGACAGACAATAAATCTGAATATGGTGCAGCAGTAAGATACAAAAAACATGGATTTGAAATATAAATTTGTGTTACTCTATATTTAAGAGTTGGGGGGATTTTAACATAGACCATGGATTATGATCCTTTTCTGCTAATTATGAGGATATAACCATCTTTCTGTACATTACCGTGATCATCAGAACACTGCTGATTATTCTATTTGTTAATTTTTTAGATAAATACATAGTACTTGAGTATTATGTGAATGCATACGCTTTTGAAATGTTTTATTTTACTTATCTGGAAAAACAATTCATGCATTTCCAATCTACTAATGTCTGATCTGTCAATTGTAGTGTGAGCAGAGGATTTCTGCAGCTCCTCCAGAGGGACCTCACTGTAAAAATCATTTTTTTGTCAAACTTTATTGAGTTGCCAGTAATTCTACCGTTAGGTTGCTGGTTATTTCAAAACTGAAAGTTCAGCTAACTTTCATGCTTTTCTTATGAAATACTGGAATTAAAGGCTCAGTGTTCTTATAATGTTCAATCTCAACAGTTCAAATAGCACATAAAGTATTGCTGCCTATCAAAATAACATTGTATGTTCTGTACAATGACAATAAAACATTTCATTTCATTCTAATTTAAGTAAAAAGTTTACCTATAGTTAAGTGAGCATAGCTTACCAGTAATCAGGCAAAGTCAAGGTCCGAGGTTTGAAACTTAGACTGTTGCTCTCCCTGAAAGAGGACAAGGTTAGGTAAAAATGTAGATGGCAAATTTCCATGCTAAGGGACAATAACCTCTATAACCTCAGGTCTGATTCTTAAGAAATATGTTTAAGATTTGGACTTTATCAGATTTTCTAGGTCACCACTACTTTACAGTTGGAAAAAAAAAAAATTCAAGTTTGACAAACTTAAAATCAAATGAAACTTTATTTCACAGTGTGGCTGCTTCTCTAATTGTGTCACAGTCTTGGTTCTGTTAAGTTTTCTTTTGTGTATTCTGTTTTACTTTTTTCGATGTTTTCTAGTTTTAGTGGTTTAATTTTTATTTTGTTGTGTTTTCTGGTTATTTTCAGTTTTCAGGTTTTTAATTTGTTGCCCTCTGCTGCCCTCTTGTGTTCTCCTTTTTCCCTAGCTCCTTTCCTGTTCTGCTCTCTTCACACCTGCTCCCAATCTGCTTGTTAGTCCTCTCTTTGTTTCAGTCTCCCATAAATACACTCTCTGTCCAGTTCCACAGTGTTGGTTCCTCGTCTAACTTCCTCCAACTCCGTTTCTCTGAGGCCTCCTCCTCGTGATTGTTTCCCCCCAGATGTCTCCATGGTTTCTGGTTTGTTTAACTTTTTTCTTGTTGGATTTTTTGGAATTTTTGATTCCTGCCTCAGTTATTTGTTTACCTTTGATCAATTCATCAAGAAACTAACCTCTGCCTCCCTGACTCTGCATTTGGGTCCGCATACCTCAACCCAATCCTGAGAAATTGATGCTTTCCCGGTATTGGCTATCAGTTTATGTATCCTGGTAGGATTGCTAATCTTTATTATGAGATTACTCCCTGTGGAAAAACATGCTTAAAATATCTGCTTCTAACATAACCCTGCTTTAACCTGTTGTGTTCTTTGGTCATCGTCATGCTGTTTGTTCACAACAGCTGGATTTAAACTGTGATTAAATTACCCGCAGATGTGCTAATAAGGTGTCCTCTAAAACAAACTGATTCCTCTGAACTTTATTTAGAGGTGTAACAGTCCAAGGGGCTTAATAGAAAGGAACAACCTGCTACTCAGGTGTTCCTATTTTATTATTATTTTTTATTACAAACCATTTATCATTTTCCATCTTCTTGTACTAAACCTTAATGTCACAGCGGGCATTTGTATATTTTTTTCTTCTGAGTTTTGTTTAAATTCAATATTTTTTTTTAAATAGTATTGTTTAAAACAGTAGATTGTAAAAGGTGGCTCTGAATCCCTATTTTACTAGTTTGTGTCTTTATCGAGTTATTCTGACACATTATTTTCAATTTGTCATGAATTTTACAAAACAATTTGTCAATGTAACTCTATGGACTGTTACAGTTTTCACATTTAGTGTGTAAAAGACCACAAGAGGGAGCCTTAGACAGCATTTTGAGTGGGTTCTGATACAGTTTTAATGAGCAGTTATTTGATGACTTCTTGAGAATTGAAATCCTGCAGTTCTTTCACTCCTGTTTAATGAGAAGATTCATGTTTTTGCCTTCTAAATATATATATATATATATATATATATATATATATGTGTGGTTTTTTTTCCATTTCATGTTTAATCTAAAGCACAAGTGCATATTTGGTTGCTACTTGTTTAACAAATTAAAATGTTTAATTAAAATTAAAAGAGACTGTGACTATAAAAGCATAATCATTGGGGCTCTTTTTTTTTTTTACATGCAGTGAGGTTGTAAAGTCCACTTTACTACAGGACGTCAGAGTTTTTTAGGCAAGTATTTATTTCTAAGTATTAAATAATTTCTGATTCGTCACTGCTGTGTCTCTAAAATCCCAGATCTATGGCATATTTCACTCTTCTACTCCAGTCTAAGCATTGACACTGTCAGCACTGATAGAACCGCTCCTTTATCTGCCCACATTTAAATCATTCAATGCGTCACAGATTTTTTATTTTTTTTAACCTGCAATGCAAAAAATGTAATTTCCTAAGAATACCAGAAACTATTACTGTATTGCTCAGATAAAAGAACTGAAATACCCGGTCTCCTTATTTGTCATTCAAGAAAGGAAAGGCTCAAATCCCTCCTTCCCTTCGTCACCCTCAGACCCTGAAACTCATCCCCACTTGATCTCCAACCTTGTAGAGGCTGAGCCTCCCTAAAGGACCTCTCATCATCTCTTCCCTCCATCAATCTCTGCTTCCTGTATGTCTGCGTAGTTATTTGTCGTCATGACAACAGAGTCCATGGTAACAAGGTCCCTATGGTGCTAAATAATAAAGGTAGATCTAATGGCAGTACCAGTGGGATCTCTGTGACTACTTATGAAAGTACCTCGATGGAGAGCAATTAAGTAAGGCCTTTGTTAAGAAGAGACAGAGCGTACGTAACAGGCAGAGGCTCCAAAGGCAACAGCCATCTTTTCTTTGAAAAGTGGGAGATTCAGCCCCTGCTAAAGAATCATGACTGTCAAGGAGGCCAAAGAAATATCACAAAAAAAGCACGAGCATGAATAGTGTGAGCACCAGAAAGAGGTCAGGAGTACAGAAAGAATCCTGGAGGGAGATAAGAGCAAATGGATACGCAACATAGACAATAATGGATGTGTGTGTGCAGCAACATCTACAAACAAGCAAATTATCATGGATCTGACTTCATGGACCTCATTCTCTTTGGTTAAAACAGACTTACAGATTATTTCTCTTTGAGTTTTTAGTGTTGCAGCCCAAACAGCAGGTTTCATAGGAATGGGAAAGACATTCAATTACTAACTTTCTTCTGTGTTAAGGTTTAGTTATTAAAATATGATTGAATTAAATCATTATTTACATCTTTGTGGTATTAAAATCACATTTTCACAGAATTATCCAAAAAACTGTATTTGCAACAAAATACCTTGCGTAAGATACGCTTTCAGTTTAGGAAGCAAAGCGCTATTTCACAAAATGTGTGTTCTTTTTGTCAATGCAAAGCACACCTTAAAGTATGATGATAAAATGATTAGAAGCTAAAGAATGAGAAGCTTTTATACTTAGAGGTGAAATTTAGGTGGGACAAGCAGTTCCCCCCTAAACCAGAGGGTGGCAGCAGTGACTACTAAGAGACTCAGCATCAGACTCAAAATGTCTGAAGAATTTTTCTGAAGAGTAAAATACAAGAAAAGGTAACATTGTTTGATTATTAGCAGGATCAATGGAAAACTTATAAATGGATTTTATGGAAGCCTCATTCCAACAAACTAATAATTAAAATTTGCTAATGATGCAGATCGTGTGTGTTATTGTTTTGGCTCTGTTAAGTTTTCTTTGAGTTTTCAGTTTCATGTTGATTCATGTTTTTCTTTTCTAATTTTATTCCTGTTTTTGTGGATGTATTTGAGTTCTCAGATTTTTCTTTGTTACCCTCTGTTGCCCTCTTGCATTGGTTTCCTTTTCCTTAGCTCTTTCTCTAGCCTCTGTTCACACCTGCTCCCAATCAGTTCATTAGTCCTAGCTTTGTTCAGTCAACCTTAAAGTGGAGTGTGTCCGCGCGCCGGACTGGAGTTGTGACAGGCAGCCCAGGACACAGGCGGCTACGCTCTACCCCTTCTATTCATTCGGCGAGCTAATCTGAATCATTCAATTCCATTTTGAGAGCGAGATCATCTGTGGTATTGGCACTAGACATCTTCCAGGCATGTGGGTAAAACTAGCAGCAGTTCAGCAGACAGGACGAATGAATGGTAGCCGGCGCGCGCGGATGACGTCATACACGCACCGCTTTGTTTTCGAAAAATCTAACTATAAAAAATATAACCCCGGATGTCTTGGGGACAGTGACTCCTCTAAATGTTATGAATGCTGGCGTACCATGCAGAATAAAATATGAACAGTTTAGTTAGCGCCTTGAAGTCGTTTGCCCATAGGAAGACGTTACTTGGATATAACCCAACCGAATATCTTCAGAACAGCTCCAAATGACACAAAAATAATATGGGTGAGTAGAACATGATGTAATAATGCAAAATCAAAGGCCCAATGTAAAAAAAAAAAAATGAAGAAAAAAAAAAAACGCTGTTCCCTTTTAAATACTCTCACTGTGCAGTTCCTCAGTGCTGGTTCCTCGTCTTACCTCGTATCTCTTCATCTTTCCTTGGCTCCCTG